GCAGAGACCGCCCGGCACTGCAGGCTAGGCTGAGCGTGGGGTCCGCACCCCCCCACCCGCAGCCCCGGCCATCCCACCGTCGTGTACTCCAAGAAGGAGCTGCATGCCAACCACACTGCTACACAGGTGAAGGAGGAGGGAGTCTTAGTGACAGCCTTTTCTAAGTGAAAAACTGTGACCCTCTAAACACGTCTCACAAATCTACAGTTAATAGCAATCTTGGCTGTGGTAGCCTGTAGATCAAGGGGAAACAGATATGATGAGGAAGAAAAATTAAATGCAATAATTTGCTAGTATAGAAACGCAGTACTGCTTTGAATGCTGTGTCCTTCGTGCACTTGTACGTACACATCTGCACTTATGTTCATGGAGAAGGGTGTACAGATATGTGTTTATTTATCTTAGAGAAAGCTACAGTAAGGCAAGAGTTTTGAAAACTTCAGCCATTTTTTAAGGAAGCACTGTCTCCCTTTAGCCTTTGCATACCTAATCCAATACTATAACCTGATTTTCCAAAAAGTTCAGAATAAATAAGCCCCTGTAGACTTTACAGGAAGTATTTTAATCCTTGTGCATCTAAATAAGAATCTGGATATGTAGAAAAAGGGAGTTAATGTCTAGGTGACAACTTCTTTTTGGAAGTGTAGCTCAAGGCCAAACTGAAGGTTGGGGCCATGAGAACTATCATGTCATCAGATCAGTTTTAAGGAACATGAGTTATCTTCTGTAAACCCTAATTCTATTTTATTGAAATCAATGAGATTTGCAATCAACAGCACAATGAGGTCAGAGCTACAGCTGATATGTCTAATTAATGGGCTACATCCATTCCATCTGTCCCAGAAAATGTCTGAGAAAGAGCATAGGGTAAAACATCTCCATCCTCAGTCAGTGCTGTTCAATCCTGCATAAAAACAACAGTGAGCGCACTTGGAGGATTTCATCCTCTGAATTACCTAAACATTTGCGCCAGCACATTTCATCAAGTTTCCATTTAGAGGAATTTTGTGAGTAAATTACAGGGCAAAAACTCAGATGACAAGGCATCTGTGGGTGTGCTTGTTGTACATACTGTGGCAGATCCTGAAAACCCACTCTCCTATGTAGGTGCCTGAGCCCTGCCATGAAATGCAAAGCTAGTTTTTCTGACTCACCCAGGTGTGCCCTGTTGTCTCTGGGCTAGGCACGTAATATGTGCTGGCAATCCCTTTCAGTGAGATTTTGTCTTGACAGTGCAGCAAATGGCTCTAGGACTCCTACTCCAAGATCCAAAACTACCACAACTGCATGACTAAAATACTAATCCTGTATAATAAATTAATTCTTATGATTCAAACTTGTTCAAAAAATGTTGACAGGTTAACTTGCTTCCACAGGGCTTGATGGTAGGTAAGGTATTTATTATTTGTGCCTCCTGTGTTAATTTTATGTTGAACTGACTAATAATCATCTTTCTACAGCTAGTATAAAACCCATATAAGTTCCACACTACATGCTGTGGCTAATTTTAGAGCACTCAAATCATACGCTCTCTGATCTGGATCAAATACCTAGTGTTTGGTGATCAGGTAGTACAGACAAACCACATTCATGACCGTGGAACTGTAGCTTCAGCAACAGTGAAACTTGGGGTGAAAAAGAGTATCTATGGAAGAAGAATGTAGGAACAATCAGGACGACTGCTGGACGTTTTTGTGTTTCTTTTTTTTTTTTTTTTTTTCCTGTTAAGTGAGATACTGATTGCCAAGTATCAAGACAGGGATCTCTGTACTCTCATGCAGCGTATCTGCTACTCTGAACAGAACGGGAGCTCTGCATCTGCACCTTTTCATATTACATAAACATCATTTATATTAAGTGTACATAAAATTGTGAAGCACTTAAAACCATTTCACTGATCAAATCATGACACTAAGCAATTACCCCGACTTCTGTACTTTCAATCATAATAACATTTCAGCGTATTATTCCACTTCACTAGATTTATTTTGCAGCAGGGTGCATACACACACGCACACACAGACTTGCCTGTTGACTGTGTACCGTATATCCGCAAGGGTAACTTCTCTGTTCTTTTCACAAACCCGCCCGGGGGCTGTTCTCTAGCATTGAGACCAACAGAAATGCAAGAGCCCACATCAGTATTATTAAACTCTCCAACACAGAGCGATCGCATACCAGCTGCCCGGCGGGAACGGCCGCTGGCCCATGCCTGTGAGCTGGGAGAGGGCTGCCTGGCCAAAGCCAGAGTGGGACGGCTCCAAGGCTGACCTGCAGGCAGGGGTTGAGCTCTGGGCTCCGACACCTGCTCTGCCTCGCTTTAATTTACTCCTATAGACGCACTGACAGTGTCTCCTAGTGGCTGTATTCTTGAAGGAACAGACCCAAACTTCACACCTGAAACTCCCATTCTTCGGAGGCATGCAAAATACAAACGCGTCTCTTTTTTAGTATCTAAAACAGCACCACTCAAAAAGGTAAAATAAATAATTTAAAAACTCAAGGTTTAATATCTGAGTTACAAAGTTGGATGCTGATTTAACGTCTAAAACCTATCTCTAGGTTATACAAAAGTGGATTTTTTTTTGAAAAGACAGTAGGAAGGTATTGCATTCTTTCCTTTTGGAAACAGAAACACTAAAGAGAGAGATGAGAGTCATAACAAAACCACGTGAAGCAAGGTGTTCCGGATGTTGCTCAAAGGTCTGAAGGCAAGCATGGGCATCAATTGGATCAGAGTCTATCTCACTTAACTTTTAGGTCCTCTCAGACCCTGTAAAAGCAAAGGAAATGCTTAAATGCTCTGCTACAGTAAGTCTCCATAGGTTCAACCTACCTATGACAGACACACCATAATCTGTGAATATGAACTGGTGTCACTGGATCTCTGAAGCACGCGCTAAGGACTGAGGAAGGGCGATGCTGGCCTAGATCAGAAGGCCACTTCCCCCAGCAGCACCCCATCTGCAGTCAAGGCCAGCAGAGGACGTTTAAACAGAGAACATAAAAAAAAACAGTCCTGAACAGTATCAATACTTGGCTCTAGCCCTTCCTCCTTGAACCATTTTCATTTTCAGCACCAGCTAAACACTAAAAATCTATCTTGATAGTGAGATCTGTATCAGGGAATTTTGTGAAAGGAAGACCTAACAGTCAAGATACAGAGAGCATATTCAACACTAAGCCAAAGTCCCGCTAGCTGGAACTACAGCAAGGTAGACCCAGAGGACACATGGGTCTGATTTTGCCATGTTGTGGGACATTTCCTTTCTCATTTTCAACTAGTTGAAGTTTCCCCTTGTCCACCATCCTCTTGGAACAGAAAAATTTGGTCAGCAAATTTGCATACATAGATAAGCTTAACCAAGTAAGACACTGAAATTAAAAAAAAAAAAAAAAAGACTGGAAAGGTGCAGACAAGGAAATCTTTCCTAGCAAATCCTGGCTCTAAGTGACCACTACTTCTTAACAGTGGAATATAGATTTGCTTTCCTCTGTGTATATACTGGGGCCTTTTGCCGTTCACCAAGTATCTTGTCACATCACTGACATCCCCACTTTGGAGATTTTATGTAAGGTCCCCTGTCAGAGGAGAAATAACACACTGCAAAAACGACTGTGGTTGGAGTAATTCTATCACAACAAAATAAAGCCTTTAGGTACTTCAGAACTCAACTAATGTATCTAAACATCCCAAGAGCCACTTGACGTAAACCTGGAGTGCCTGGTTTGTCCCCACCTCCAGCAGGTCTTTCTCCGTGTACCTGTGTGTGCTTGAGATAGCTACACGGCTCTGCTTGCAGCAATGGGCACTTTCTGCTATCTTTCTCCCACTGTGCTGGTGCTGGTGGAAAGCCCTTCTTGAACAAGGCCAGGTCAGTATTCACTTTCCCTGATGATCCTTATGGTGCCTGAGTTTGCTGACCTTTAGGCCAGAGTGTAAAGCTTATCTCCATCCTCAGCTTTTTACCTGAGGAGAGGGAAAGATGACAATTTGGTTTTGGAAGAGGTTCTCAATGGTAAAAAGGGATTGACAAGTGAAATGCTTCCCACTCAACTTGTTTTCCACACCTCCTTCAGCTATCGCCAAGCACTAGTTGAATCATACCAAATAAACAGTTTCAGCTTGCCTTAGTCTAGGTAAGTTTACTAGAAAGTTTCAAAGCAAAGCCTAAACTTTTTCTTTCTTTTCTCACCCTGACACTTTAGCTCTGTCCAGTAAGGAAAGCAAAAGCACGCATCTACTGAAGCCTTTCTGTTTCTGGTGCTCAGATCTTTTTCAGCCCACCTGTTCAGCCAACTTCTTTTAAAAGCACCTCTCTTTCTACACACATTTAAAACCTCCTTTCATCTAAAGTTGACAAATCCATCTCGCATAGCCACTTCTCATCATGTCTACTCTTATTAAACCCCTGCACAACAGAACCTGCATTCCTTCCCCCGGATCGAAACAAGCATAGACCTCTACAGCCGCCTTCCACGGGAATGGAAACAGCAGGTGACCAGAGCACCCAGAGGGGACTGCAAGTTGGGGCAGCCCAGGGGTGCAGAAGGGATGGAGGGGACAGAGCTGCAACCCTACGGACACAGGCGGGTTCCTTCACCTCCAAGCTTCTTCCTCGTAGCTCCAATTATAAGTTGACAGTATCTAATTAAGTGATTTCATTGTCAGAGAAAAAGCTACAGGGCAGATTAAATTGCTGGCCTGCTACCAAAACAGTAATGTACAAATCTGGAGTAGAAATTCCCCGTAAAGGCAAGGCAGTAGTAAATGGTAAGTTAGTTACCTCTGTCACAGCCCTGTGAAAAGCCAGAAAAGCCTCACAGATTTGCCCTCTGTCGGACCTGGGGGATTGTCCTTTCTCTAAACCAACTAAAGCTAATACTTTCTAACCTTCCACTCCTCCCAGGCCAACTGCTCGGGGGCCACTCCACAGAGAGCCAGTTCCTTCCTTTGTCCAGGTAAGAGGACCCTGGCATGCACACCCTCCCAGACATGTGTCGAGTTATTTAAATCAGTTCAGCATGCCTTCCAGCCTGAGAGACACAAAAGCAATATAACCAGAGCTTCCTTTTGCAGTCTGTCCTCGGAGAGTCCTATCCAGAGCAGATCATGCTGATACAACCTGACAACACCTAGGGATAAAGGGAAGGCTCACACCAGACGCAGCCTAATACTAGGTAGTATTATAAGAGGGCAACCAGAGATCAAAGAAACGTTTTCTTTTCTTTCCTACTACCAGTTACTCTGTAAAATGAACAGACCCCCAGCCTCATCAGAGCAATGAAGCAGCTGATCCTTGCAACCCTGTCACAGGTGAGGATCCAGGTTTCCTTCCAAGGGACGCTACCAGGGCTGAACTGTGTTTGCTTTTCTTTAAAGCCTCTTGCATGACCCTTTGCCCTTCCCAGCGTTTCTCTTGCTAGCACTGTAATGCATTTGGCACAAAACTGCAAAATTGCAAAACTCCTTGAAAAGTTGGATTTGTTTGTTGCCTTTTCAAGGGATGGGTGGGGGAAGAGCTCCCTAATTCTTTTTGAACTATTGATTATTATCTAGGAAGCTGCTCCCCCCTCCACCTCCGAGTTAACCGTTCACTTGGACTTTTCTTCCAGGCAGGTGGTTTAAGCTTGATCTGACCTGCAGGGGTTAAAGAAAGAAGTGATGGGAGGAAAAACGAAGCCTTTCCAGTGGCTCATATTTGAAATTCTTTTTTTTCCCCTCTCTCTCACTCTCCTAAATGGGGCTCGTCTGCTTCTCGTTTCCTCTCGCTCCCTAATTATTCCGCAATGGAACGGCGAGCGGCAAGGATTAACAGTGAAGCAGATGACAGGAAACTGTTACCCAAAACCCCAATGCCGAACCCCCACCTTACCCTCCCGTCCCTCCCTCGCAGGAGACGGTCCCCCTCACCCTTCCGTCGATGCCATGGTCCTGAAAGCCCCCGTCTTCTCAAGAGTCCGAGGGATTCTTTTGGACAGCAGGGCGCGGAGGAGGTTGGGCTCTTTGGGATAGCCAGCCCTCGCTCGCCTCTGGGGACGAGCACACCAATGCCTTGTAATCCTGGGGGGCTCGCTCGGGCGAGGCTCGGCCGGCTCCGCTCCTCGGCTCTGCCCCAGCCCGCCGCTCTCCGCGCCCCGGGACCGGCGCTGCGCCCCGCGGCCGCCCACCGGAGCCCGGCGGGGCGAGGAGCCGCGGGCACCCGGGCTGCGGTCCCGGCGCCTCCCCGCGCCGTGGGCTGCGTGTGCGTGTGAGCGGGAGGTGGGGGTGACTTCACATCGGCGCGGTGCTGTCTGAGGCTGGGATTGGAAGGTTTTAGCCCTCGAGCCGTGGATTTGCAGTCTATCCCTCTCTATTTTAGGCACGGGCTGACATCACGAGCCGTTGTTACTCCTATAAATCCCCCCAACCGCTCCTTGGCAGAAGCGGGGGGGGGGGGGGGGTGGGGGGGGGGGCCGAGCCCCTCGCAGGGGGAGGGCCGGTCGCTGCCGGCCGCGACCTGCCCCGCTCGCCGCGGGCCGCCACCGCCTCCCCGGGGCAGGGCAGGGCGGGCCCGGCCCTCCGCGCCGAGGGGGCCTGCCGGGGATGCAGGGGTTCGGTCGGGAGCGGCGGGAAGGAGCGAATCACCCCCCACACACATACACACACACCCCCCACACACACACCCCCCCACACACCCCCCGACCCTCCCGCGGGTGTTACCTCACGCCCCCCCGCCCTCCGGCCAGCGGCCCGGCCCTCCACCGGCACCAGAGTCCCCGGGGCCCGCTGCCGCCTCCCCCGCCGCCGCCGCACCTGCCCCGCGCCCGCTCGGCCCCGCCGCAGCCCCCCCCCCCCCCCCCCCTCAGGGCCGGAGCGGGGCCGCGGCGCTGCTGCCCCCTGGCGGCCAGGCGGGGGGCCCCAGCCGCCGGCGCGGCGCGGCCGCGGGAGCAGCGCCCGACCCCAGGGCGAGGCCGCCACTGCCCCCCCCCCCCCCCCCCCCCCCCGCGCCCTCCGCCCTCGGCCCGGCCCGCGCCGCCGCCACCGCCCTACCTGCACCGCCCGCCGCCGCCGCGCCCCTCAGCCCCGCCCCGCCGGGCCGCCGCGCCTCGCCGCGGCGGGGAAGGTCGGGGCGGCGCTGGCGGGGGGGCGCGGGGGTGGCCCGGAGCGGCCCTTCCTCCTCCTCCTCCTCCTCCTCCTCCTCCTCCTCCTCCTCCTCCTCCTCCTCCTCCTCCTCCTGCTGCCCTCGCCGCGCCCCTCCGGGGGCCGCAGCCGTGTGCCCGGGCGCGGGCAGGGTGCCGCCCTGCACCTCGGCTTCAGCGCCCCGCCGCTGAGGCGCTGGCTTCCCGCCTGGCGCCCGTGCCACGGCTCCCGCGCCCGCGGCAGCCGCTCCCCCCGCGCCCCGGCGGCTCCCGGGCACGGGAAGGGGCCGCGGAGCCGAGCAGAGGCCGCCGGGCCCTGCCCCCGGCCGCCGTGCCTGCAACCGAGCCGGGCCCGCTACCTGGCCTTGGAAACGGCAGGTGCAGCCTTCCCTAGGCCAAGGCAAAATACACTTCTTTTTTTTTGGTTTTTTTTTCCTTACGATCTGACCACGGACTTAGGTTTTCAAGGGAAACCAGCGACCAGGGCCATTCCATCAGAGCTGCTGACAATGCCTGAGGCAACCATGTACTTCAGCGTGCCCATGTGCTCACAGTGCTGTCTTTCAGCTAAGCGCCCTGTCTTTTGGAAGTAATTTAATGCACCCCCATCCCAAAAAAACATACAAGGGGAGAAGTATAAATCCGTCGGAGTGGGTTAGAATGCAGAGACTGTTTCACTCATAGCAATATCTTTATGGCCTTTCCAGAATGCACAGCTCTTTTCCTCGGAGGGAAGATGTGTTGCTATCCATGTTGTGCTATTTCACACCCGTTCTCCAACAGATGGCATAGATCCTCACCTGTTTAGAAAGAGATGTTTGAAATAGTCTTGCATCTTAAAAATAGATCCTAGCTATCAAAGGGATTAGTGGTTCCAGATCACAGGCTGTGTTTCTTCAGATATTCATCCCCCATTTTTCCTCATTATTGGCATTAGATGTTAACCCCCATTATGCTCAGGCTGGAAGTGTGGAACTACTGTGGGTCAGCCTGCCAGGCAGGATGGACAAGCTGATTTGTAATTCCTGCGAATACTAGGGATGGTGCAGGTGCTTGGATATGTTGATATGACTGCCCACCTGTACATGTGCATACATATGTCTTACAGCAGTAGAAATAAAACATGTTTGCATTTAGAGATTAGTCAGAATTGAATCTAGGATTCAAACATCGTTAAGGTCCAGAAGTAGAGCCAAATGCTACAGCTAATTCCTCTTTGTATAAAGGATGGTGCTAAAATCTGAATCCTGGGGCTGAGAGAAGCCTGGCCATTTTCCTGTTTCTCTTTACTTTGAAGAGCATCATGACTGTAAAAAGAAGGGAGTGGGGTGGGGGGGAGTGAATTCTGCTGTACATGCACAGCTGTAGAAACCTCCTCCTGTGATTTTTGTTCCATGAATTCCTTCAAGTTTCTCTTCAAGACTATACTTTTGTGTGATCCACAGCCAGGGAACAGCTATATTGTTGGTGCCCAAGCCCAGAAACTTTCAGCTATTCGTTGCCAGATCTGTGAGTGGTTTGAAGCCAAATGGGGATGGGATTCAACACTGAGGAGAAGTTAGAGGATCTGTAAATACTCAGCATGGCTGATCTTTACTGAAAGAAGAGTGAGGGCTAAAACTGGAATTAACACAGACTTTTGAAGATCTGTGTGGACTACCTAGTTCTCTACTGGACAAAACCCAGAGGAGGAAAAAACAAAACAAAACAAAACAAAACAAAACAAAACCAAAATCAGACAAACCAACAACAACATTTGGGCTCTCCTCTCTCAGTTGTAGCAGTGGAGAATAATAAAGCTATAGAGAGCAATGCAGTCACAGTGTCAGAACTGAGGAAAGAACCAGCTCACCGACCTTTATGATTTCTGTTTTAGACGAGCATTTCTCTTACCATTAGAGTGTAGAGACTCATTTAATGTAATCGTGGAAGATCTCTGACTGGGCAAGCCAGGCTCCAATAAACAATCCTATTCCTTTCTTATGTAATTCTTCATAGATAGTGTTAGGAAGAAACACATGTTGACTTTCTGCAAGTTTGCCCTTCTCCAAAACGGTCACCTAATTTCCTCTAACCCCTTCTGTCAGCTGGGGAATGCCACACGTTCACTGGCACATGTTCCTCCCAGCAGAGGAATGAAACACATCTTGTTTTTCAAATTTAATTCAGATTTTTTGTTGCTGTTGTTGCCAACAGTTTGTCAGCCAAGCATAATCTCCTGGCAGGAGGGGAGAGACAAACAAGATAAAGAAAAGCAATATACTTTGATTGTAGCTCTTAAACTTTCTGATTCAAGCAACATCCCCTGGTCCCATTGCCAGTGAAAATAAGAAAAGTGCAAAAGCGTAACACATTAAGTCTTTATGCCCAGGAAATAAAAAAATAAACTACATGGAATGACCTCCAATACTAATTGCTGTTTTAGCAGCAATTTTCAGATTCAGAAGTAGGTGGAAACTACTGAATGCTAAGAAACTCCTAACAAGATTTCACAGCATCAGAGAAGCAGAGCTGAAATCCGACTTGTTAGCTTACAACTGCCATAGCCACACAACAGGCTAGGCAGAACACAGCTTCAGGATCTTCAGAGTCCTTCTTGTTGAGAGGACTAAATCCTTTCATCAAGATCCACCGCTTTCACATCCAACTATTGCTGTGAGCTGGTTTGGGCACTGTAACGATTTGGAGGTCCTAAAAATTCCAGGGTGTGGAAGATGACTTATCCAGGAGTCATTACTGATGGGAGACATCCCCCTGTCCTTCCTCTCAGACTTGTTCTAGGGTTCATCTCTAGTCTTTAGCCACAACTGAATAGAGAATGATTTAGTGCAAAAGTGCTGATTAAGGACTGTGAGAAGACCGAAGTCTTTCCACTGGACAATATGCCCAATGGGAGAATCTTACACTTTGATGTCAAACAGTCCAGTCAGGGAAAGCCTCTGCTGAGTGTGAGATCTGGACATTATTCTTCACCCTGAAGAGCTACAGAAGAGTTATTTTGCCACAAAAATATGTGAACTGATGGAAAACAGAAGTTTTCCTGAGGTTTTCATAGGCCTTTGAAATAATCCACGTGGAAAAATGTTTTTAAAAGTATGTTTCAGGTTTTCACCTGTTCAGAATACAAGATAGGAGAGAACTGCCCTGTACATTTCATTACAATGGTTCATGTACAATAGCAGCACTGGATGTATTAAGAAAAAAAAATCTTTTTATTTATTTAATAATTGATTCTTTTGCTAATTCTGCCTTTCAGTGTGCCTGAAGAGTCCCAGGTGAGAGTCACATGGAAACACACAAGGGCAGTGGAGAGTCCCTGGAGTGCGACACAGAAAGCAACAAGGATTCTAAACAATATCAGACATGGGTATATAGGTTAAAAAAACAAACCACGGTTTATTTAAATGTGTAAAGTACTTGGGAGGGAACAAGATTACATTGTACTATGGCAATACAGGCAGCACATACCATAAGAAGCTCATCCATCGTAATGAATTCAGGGTACTCTTTCCAGCCTCCTAATCCACTCAGTCACACAGATCTTTGGGAGAGGCTCGCCATTAATTTCTCTAGGGGACTCCACACTACAGATTGATTTCAGTCAGAATTTGCTGTCCTGTTTCTGTATGTCAGACTCAGAAGCAGAGCATCATCCTCCCTCTAGGGGAGACAGGCGAAATATGGCAAAACTTCTCATGCACTAAGACCCTCTGACGTGGGTTAAGTAAAAGTAGCCTGATGGAACATCTGATCCTAGGACAAATTACCAGGCTGTCTGCCTTAGCCTTATCCCAGATGGGGCTCATCACTGGGATGAGAAGCCTAAAGCAGCAGAGACTGAGATACTATGATAGTTATAAAATGCCACTTCCAGACACAGCTTTTTATTTCAGGTTCTTCTCAATCCAGTCTTTGAAGGGAAGAACTTTAGTATAACCACTGTAGAGTTCTAGGCTGCAAGTTTTATCATAACCCCAGCTCACTAATCCCATCAGGTGCCACCTGAGCTCAGGAGATGCTTTTCCTGGCAAAGTTATGGCTGCAATCCCACCAGTCTCAGCAGGGCAGATATTAGAAAAGGCTATGTGGTCTTGTTTGGCACAGAACATGCTGTCAGTGATGCTGACTTGTATCCCATTATCCTCATACTGTTGCTCACACAACAGTGAATCCACCATCCGAACAGCTCCCATGCGGATTGTGTCATTCTTGTATCCGGGATCTTTAATGTCAGCCAATACCTTCCAACCAGTAACCATTATTTTTAAATCCTCCATGGATGAAGTCAGGTCATGAGAAGATGACAAGCAAATGGGCTGAACACGACTGCTGATTCTGGCTTTGTCTAAGAGTTTTATGATAGCTATGTCAGAATCAAGTAATATAGGGTCATAATTGGGATGTACTATGATGGCAGAAATCTGGGGAGGAAACAGAGTAGGAAGAATTGTAGAGTTAACAGCAATGGCA